GGGCGTCGGACGGGGGGCGGGCGGCGAGGAGGCCCCGCCCCTCCGCTGTGTGCGGGGCGTGGGCCGCCATGGCGGAGGTGTGAGGGCTGTGCCTCGGCCCGGTCCGGTGTCCCGGAGGTGCTCCCCGCCCTCGCCGAGCTGGGTGAGGGGTTGTCCCCGGCTCAGCCTCTCTGGGGAGTGTGAGAAACCCTGTGGCACCTGGGAAGCGGGTCTTGAAAGGCTTGCAGGGCTGTGAAAGCTTTATCCTGTGGGGCAGGGCTGTAGGAGACGGGGGTTTAAGCCTGGGTGTGGGCCTGGGGAGCTCCTCTGCTCTCCGAACATCTGTAACGGAACCAAAACGTGTACAAAAGTGTATGGGAGTTACAAATACTAAAAAGGCTATTTAAGATGAAAACAATTAATTAACTTGGGGAATCTTTAGGTAGTTCAACATTCTGGCTATTTTGCGAGTGGTCCTTGGTTTGCTGTAACGGTGGGGCTTAGGGCCGGTGTTTGAAGAAGCTGCGCGATTTGCCTTTTGTGTGGTTTCCCCCTTACCCGTCCTCAGCGCCATTTGGAAAATCCTCTCCCTGAACCTGGCCTGTGTGTCACCCTCAGGGGCAGCAGAGAGTTAATCCAGCGCAGGGTTTAGTCTCATGGTGTCGAGCCTGTAGCCTTTTCGTATCTCGTCATAAAACTTGGGTCAGCTGCACAGCGACTTGTGCTAGCTCTGGTGTCTCCCCACCAGCTGATGAAGTTGGGTTTAGTTTTTTTTTTTTTAATGGTTTAGGTAAGAAAGAGAGGTATAACTGATGGTATTGGTAAAATAGAGATAAAGGGGGGGCTCACTGATAGCTAGCAAAACGCTGCCCAGATTTCAACTTTCTTAACTTTCCTTTTCTTCAGGAGAAGACTGACGTGGAGGGAACGCTGTTTGTTTACACAAGGTGAGGATGTAATGTTTTAATGTCTGCAGGTGAAACCTGTGGATGAGGAAAACCTAGGGATGGAGTGTGGCTGAATGAAGTAAAATGCTCCTCCTTGTTCAAGGGTGAAAACAAACTGAAATTGGCAGAGGCAAATGTGGGGAAGAAAACACTGTGAAGGAGACATCACCTTATATTTGGATGTTCCAAATGTGATTTAAATTTCAATATGGGTAAACCATAGAAATCTGTTGTGTTGTTTTAAACAGGATGTAGCATTTGCAGTTTAAAAGGTGTCTGAACAAAAAACAAATAGTGAAATAAATAATGGTATTCCTTAAAGTAAGGGAACGGTAGAACTTATGAAGTATTGTGTTCCCTACTTAGGGAACTTTCATACTAATTGTGTCTGATTATTCATTTTTCATGCATATTTCATCCAACATTTTGGATGTTTTTAATGCTTTCTTTTAGCAGCAGCTCTGGTTGCGGCTTTTCAGAGCATTGGTTTAATCATTTGTTCTAGCAGGTACCTTAGATCTGTTGTGAAGCCTGCCCTACGTCTGGGTTTCCAAGTTAGTGCCCCAGCATTTCCCCATGACTGTTGTTAAAATCAGAAAATAATAGAGTAAGAGATCTTGCAGTGGCTGCTGGGATGGGACACCAAAGCAGAAACTTTCTCCTTCAACATTTATGTTGATAAGGATCTGGTAGGAGAACTGAGAAAGCAAGAGATTGTTTTGAGAAGGTGAGAGATGTATGTGTGAAGTGACAGGGAAGCCCAAGAGACTGTGAGCTTTGTGTGAAGTGGGAATGCTGGTTTTAATCTTGTGGGCTCTTTTGTACCAGCAGTGGAAATCGTCATCAGTAATTTTTCTAAGCTGCTTTCAGGTAAGTGGAGATAAGATGCTGGCATAATTACTACCACAAGAGGAAAGAACTGGCCCTTAGTTGTGCTAGCAGTAGATGGAGGTGGCTAGTTGTGTACTGCAAAACAGAAGTAGTATTTCTCTGGTATGTTGGTTTTAAAAATCCAAAACTGACAACATGTAACCTGTACAGCATCTGTGATTGTTCACTGTTCTTTTTGTTGGCCGAGGAAGTTTCCATTTACAGCAGAGATTGCTACCCTCGTTGCTCTATAGGCAACAGTATGGAGCAGGTTGCGAGCTGTAACATCATACATTGCCCTCCCCATCAGTTTTAACTTTAATTTCCTGTGGCTTTGAACAAAGTCAGAAAGTCTTGTGGAAAAAACATTGCCAACAGACAGTAGGTTGGAGACCGCTGGTGTCGCCTTTGTTGCTTCTCGTTACTGTTGTGACAATGTAAAGTAGCGTGACCATTTTACTTGAGCTGACTTATCACCTATCTCACCTTTGCGAGTTGTGAGGAATGGTCAAAAAATCAGACTTCCAACAGGGTTAACGCCTGTGGAAGTGGACTGGTTTTTTATTTCTTTGTTTGTTTTTTTTTTTTTTAAGTGAAGTACTGACTGTTGCAAACAAGGATTCTTGTTAAGGGTTCCACTTTTGTTTAATTTTCTGTTGACTCGAATCCTGTAATGCAGGTTCCTGTGGTTTGGATTTCATAGAGAAATCCACCCACGAGCAATTACCAGAGTTGGCACTTTTCCCAAATGTTTAGCCATAATCTTTTCCTTTATTGTCATACTTTGTCTGAAAGTAATCTCCTGTCAGGATCGTGATGGGTTTAACAGCTCACATTAATAAAAATTATCTAAAACTGACTTGAAGTATAACCCCCATGAACAAGCATTATGATTTAGAGTCATAGAATCATAGAACAGTTTGGGTGGGAAGGGACCTTTAAATATCATCTAAAGATCTGCCGTGGGCAGGGACATCTTACATTACATCAGGTTGCTCAAAGCTCTGTCCATCCTGACCTTGAACGCTTCCAATGATGGGGCATCCACAGCTTCTCTGGACAACCTGTTCCAGTGTCGCACCACCCTCACTTTTATGCTTTAGACTGTATGGAAAATCCTGTCTGGGATGACTGTTACTGTCTGCAATTGTTAACCTGAGTGTTGAAAAATATACTTGCTCTGGCCATGACTGAACCGTTCTAATTGCTGTTTTCTGCTCCAGCGAGAAACTATAGGGTAGATGGTGGTTGGATAACGTGATGCTGATGGTCTGATGGACAAAGTGGCGTTTTGTAACATCTTGCCTGTTCAGAAGTTGTAGGCCTTACAACTTGAAGTGAAAACTGGACATGCAGATATGATTATGCTGTGACTAAATCCTTGGACCTCAAATGGTAGTATCACAGATGTGGTATACTCTCTGTAGCTATTGTGAGACCAATGGTGCTTCTGTTATTTCTCATACATAGTGTAGGGTTTTGACATAATTAAAAGGATTGCATGAAACACTGCAAGAGTCAATTGTTTTTTCCTCGGCAACAAAATTAGATTTTTTTAGTATCTCTGAGAAATAAAAAACAATTCTGGAGAACTATACAACAAAGAAATTCTAGTAATGTCTTTTTTTTTCCTTAACTTGATGTGATTTCTAATGGATAATTTTCAGATCAGCTTCTCCAAGGCATGGCTTCACAATTATGAACAGACTGAGCATGGAAAATCGAACAGAACCTATTACTAAAGACCTCGATTTCCAGCTGCAGGACCCTTTTCTACTGTACAGAAATGCCAGATGTAAGTATCTGATATGTTGGGTTAAATACTGAAGAAGTGAGCTCCTCTTCAGAGTCTGTTCTTGGTTAAGGCAGTCCAAATGATTAGACTGCAGTTTTCAAGGGCTGAAACTAGCTGGTTAACAGTTACAATGGAAGGAATACATTCGGCTTTTTGACATGCTGAAAGAGAAGAGTCACGCAGTGCTTCCTAAAATGCTGCTCTTCTAAAGAAAGTATCAGAACGTGCTTAACAGTAATCTCTTCATTTAACTGACAAATAACAGACTTCTATGTTCGTGTGCATTTGATGGGCGTAGAGACTCACACGGATATTGTGTGTTCTGTATATACCCCAGTCAGTGTTGGGAAGTCTCGCCATAAAGCAGATCTACTGAGGGTTGGAGTGATATTTGTAGTCTTGGTTTTCTGCATAAAAATAGACAAATGCAGCCAATTAAAACCCTGTCTTCTTCTCCAGCTCCAAAATGCTGTCCTTACAGCAAGCTGGAAGGCAAGTTACTTCTAAACTATTAGGGATAACTCTTGACAACATGGTGTTGAGCCTAATTTAAACCCTGATGAAAGACAAAGTTATTACTTTGGGCTCTGTGTTTATCTTGCATGATTATCTTTATACAAGAATTAGCATGTGTCAGGCAAACTCAGAAATAAGTGGAAGACATGAGAAAGCTGTACTTTTACATGCAGGTATACATACAGACTGTTACAATGTGCAATTATATGAGAATAAGCAGTTATAAATATACAGTTTATATCTGTACTTGGAAGCAGAGCTGTAGTATGATCTATACTTTGTGCTTGATGCATAAAAACAGATTGTAAGAATGTTTTATATAAACTGTGATGCAGAAGCATTCCCTCTGGATAAAGTAACAGCAGAGGAAATTCATGGCAGAGAAAGCAGCCCAGTTTGATAATCTACTAGACCTTTTTACTTCATAAACTTAATTTGGAGTTGGAAAGTATATCAAGAGGGAATCCTGTTGTTCACACACACTATGTGGTAGAAACAATAGAGAAATAATATTTTAAATAACCTAAATGAAACTTCTATTTTTGAGAGTATTTGATAGGCTGACAAAGAAGTGGAATTCCCAAAGAAACGGAAAAGAAATGCAGACATCTCCAGGCTAACCTAGACTAGACCAGACATTAGGATTTTAAGTACCATGAGACCTATTTATCCCATCTGATTTTGAAGAGTCTTTCCTATGTATATATAATCTTTTTTTATCTCATTTTGAAATTCCATTAGAAGTTTATGTATGTACATACTAATATCTACCTTTTGAAATCTGATCTATTAATTTTTAATTTTTGTTGAGACAATTGGTATAAAGAGTAATTAGAAGTTGTCATAATTATATGCTGACATGAAGTAAGATAGTCTTCAGTCTGAGCACTACCCGTAAACTGTGATTCGTTTGTTTTTTTATTAGGAGAAAAATTGGGGATTTTGGTGGGGTGTAAGCCGTTTGTTCACTAGGAGATGTCAGAATTTTATATCTTGCTTCTGAGCAGTGGCCCTATGTTCAAGTAACTTGTCTGGGGCTTTTTGGCTAGTTGCAGAAGGCTTCTTTTCTGCGTTCTTCTGTCTAGGCAATGGTTCTTTTAGGGTAGTTACTGCTGAACTGTGTTTGCACAGCATCAAGGCTGCCTCTGTTTCTCACACTGCCCTGCCAGTGAGTAGGCTGGGGGTGCACAAACATCTGGGAGGCGGCACAGGTGGGACAGCTGACCCCAACTGACCAAAGGGATATTCCATACCGTATGATGTTGTGCTCAGCATGTAAAGCTGGAGGAAGAAGGAGGAAGGGGGGATGTTTGGAGTTATGGCACTTGTCTTCCCAAGTAACCATTACACAAAGCCCTGGTTTCCTGGAAATGGCTGAACACCTGCCTGCTGATGGAAAGTAGTGAATGAATTCCTTATTTTGCTTTGCTCTTGTGCACAGCTTTGCTTTACCTATTAAACTGTCTTTATTCCAAGCCCACAGGTTTTCTTACTTTTGCCCTTCTGATTCTCTCCTCACTCCACTAAGGGGAGGGAGCGAGCAGCTGTGTGGAGCTGAGCTGCCAGCTGGGGTGAACCCACAACACCTACGCTAAAAATTTGCCAGCAGCAACATGAAAGTAACCCATTTCTTTCAGCCACAAGATCTGGTAGCTTCTTGACCTCATGGCACTCTTTACTGTATCATTCCCTTGAGTGCAACCATGAAAAAAAGAAATAATAAGATCCCCAGCCAGCGTACTCTTGATTTTATAAAGTCATCTTCAGCCTGACTCTGTGGGTCTGATTTTTTACCACAGTTAGCTGTTCAATCTAACCATGGGTAAATCTGTATCTGTTGTTTAATTTGAGAATTTTGTTGTCTGAGAGAAGATTCATGTTTGCTTTACTAAAAAAATCCACTGGTTTAGCATTTCCGTTAGTATCAGATGTGTTCCAGGTATAGGAATATGTTACCCATAGTTATTTATCTTCCTAAAATACTCTTACAAACGCTTAATCATTAATTCTTCAAGAAAACTGAAGGTCTTGGTACTTTGAAAGACAAAATTTTGTTGTCTCAGATTCTCACGGAAACATCTGTGTTTCCAGAGCAAACTAGCATTACAGACCCATAGAAGAAAAGTTATTTACCAACTCATTTGACTTTTCCAGGTTTTCTTTAGGTCCCTGCAGATTGTTCGTATAGTGATTTCTCCACTGAGATGCAGATACCTGTAGCCCTTTCTTCCTTACTGTGTGTTTCAAAGCCTTTGCTACAGAAAATAAAGGAACCTCCTCAACATTAAGTATCTGTTTTCACTACTGTCTCATCCAAACGTGATTCTGAATGTCTTGAATTTTCTGTATGAATATTTTCCTTGTGTTTTGCTTTATTATACAACTTGTCTTTATAATTTTTGCAAAACTAAGGCTTCAGGCTTCTTCATTATTAAATGGAGTTTTCATCCAAAACCGGGGGTTTTAGGCCCTAATCTTATGATACTATTTTTATCGCCTGCTTCCAGATACTAACAAGGAGTAGTCAGTAATAGTTGTTTACTTGGCAAAACAGTAGACGGTGCAGCAGTAATACTTAACAGGATCTGGAAACATGTTATCTTTTTCTAACCTTTTCTTTGACTTGGTTGCTTCTTACTCTGTTTTTCATGCATATCTTGTTATTAGATATAACAAAACTAGCAGAGTTTCCTCTGGTTTTCTAATTGTTATATGTGGAAGTGACTATACCAGTACTTACATTTGGGTTTTGTGACAATGTAAATCTCAGAAAAACACAAGAGCAAGCATTTGCAGGAATAAAGAAGTCCTGCCCAGTGTTTTGTTTCTTCCCATATTCTGAATGTTTGTTGAAACCAACTTCATTTCAGAAAATTTAGTATTATTTTCCCAGATTCCCACACTGCAAAGACGGCCAGTGGATGAGATGAGAGAGAGAGAGAGAGGGAAGTTTTGCCAGCTGTCCAAAGAAGTAGCATAAGTTTTGGGGTTTGTTTGTGGTTTGTTTTTTTTTTTTTTTTTTTTTCTCCCCTCTGTTGGACATAATTATTTATATATGAAAATTTTTCCAAATATATGCTTGGGGGCAAGTGATTGTAAAATCTTTAGGAAAAGATAATGGTGTATATTTTTCTTAAACTATTATTTTTCATTCTTAAATTCTATGTTACAGCATCCTAGAGCCCTCTCAAATAGAACAACTCATCTTGGAGACTGATTGTGGCTCATTTCAGTTCACCCTTCTAAGTAAATATATCCTGGTAAAAAATACTAAAGGGATAACAAGTGTCCCGCTTCTGTAGGCATTTCTGAAGACCCATTGACCCTGCAAGTAGCATTTCTCTTGTAAAGGACATCTTAGTTTGAAGGCGATTAGAAATTTACTTCTGAAGGGAAAGTAGGAGACAACAGTAAGAGAATTTGTGTGATGTGTAAAAATGAATATGTCATGAAAAACAGTCTTCTTTTGGATACTATAGTGTCTTTTTTACCCTGAAATATATTCTTAGTCTATACTACATTATATATTCTGTAATTCAGCGTTCTACATTTCTTCTTTCTTCTGAAAGGTGTTTTTATTTGAGAATGAAACCAGCATTTGGTGGTTAAATTTACTTGTGTATATATTTAGATTCAGCCCTCTGCATATTGACCAATAAACAACTACTTGCTCAATTGTTTCCATTCAGACAGGCAAAATAGATATTCCAGGCTTTGTTTTTACAATGTAATAGAGTTTCTGTTTGGTTTTTTGGTTTCGGTAAAAACGTCAGTTTAAAATGGAGAGCCTTATTTATCAGCCTCCTACCTGCCAACATACAGTATCTGGTCCAATACCAAAAAAACCCCAACAGGATGAACACACTAAATTGAAATGTATATTCAATTGATTATTCCCCAGATGCTCATTGGTCTTTTTTAATTTTGAAACAACTACCTTTACATGTTTTTAACTTCATTTAATTTGTATTATTTTTCTCTAAATTCAGTGGTCTACTGATTTGGAAATATTACATGACTTTCTGTTGCTGCATCATTAAGCAAAACGCAATGTTTTTGTCACAGCTGAATAATTGAAAAACAGTCTTTTTGAGGTTAAGTTTCATTGCAAAATTATTATTCTGGCCTGCTAGAACCTGCGTGTTTTGTTGAAGAAAATACTTCTGTAGTTCAAAACTCTTTGAAAAATGTTTGTCAGTTTGGAACAGAAGTGTTTGAAAAGTGAAAGCTCAGACTACAGAAATTGAAAGTAATTTTGGCAGAATGGCCTTGCCCTCATTAGAGGTATGTTCTTCTCAGCCTGTCGTTTGCTAAACAGATTTGGCTAAAGCTTTTTTTTTTTTTAAAAGCTTGCCTGGACGGACTACTGCCATTTGTTCAGAATACAAATGCTTGTGGTTTACCTGAGGTTCTGTCCTTGGAGACATTTTTGTCTCAGAGAAATAAACAAATCGCTTGTCCTTCTTCCTATTCCACTTTCTCTC